CAAGCCCCCCAACAGTGGCTGTGTTCCCCGTACCAAACCCTCTCACTCGGGCTCGCCAGCAGCTCCAACCACCAGAAGGCTCTCCGACAGCAAAGAGAGCATGTGCTTTGGTGTCACACAGCTCTGACGCTTGCTGTGTGATTCTGGGAAAATGGCTTCACCTCTCCGAGGCTGTGTCCTTACGTGTACAAAAGGGATAAACACAGCAACTCCACAGAACTGGCACGAGAAATACGAGGCAATGCCTGGCAGGTGGTCAGGTGCTCAGAAACAGCGGTGCTACGATGATGGGACAAGGCCTGCTTGTCTGTGGATATGCCATCTCCAAACCGTGGTGCCCAGGGCACTAGGCATGTTCCCACCGGCAAACTGTGGAGCCCTCGGTCCAGAAGAGATGACTTGTGGGGGACACTCCCCACCTATGTGACGGCCAAACTCTGGGCTGGACCGTGAGTGAGGAGCACACAGGTGCAGCATCCTTTCTAGCCCGAAGCTGGGTCCTTGTACCTCCCAGGTGGCCTTGGCCCCAGGTTGCACACTGGTGGGCAGTGGCAGGCAACGCCTTCTCCCTGTGGTGGGGAGAGCATGGACGGATGGACGGCCCGACCCCAGGGAGCCAACCCCGCATACTCACATCATCCACCTTTGGCTCTGTCACAGGGACCCACTTGTAGATTCGCAGGGACGTGTCACCCACAGTCACCCACTTCTTCTCCCTGCAGAAGATGAGGAAGAGCCCATTACCAGGGGGTTTCCGGGGCAGGACCCTGCTCACCCCTCGTGGGGGACACAGGCCGCACAGCCTTGGAGTAGCTGCGACAAAGGGGCTGGTCAACTTGGGGCTAAGGGAGTGTACTCCACATCACTCTAGATCTAGTAGCTAGGGGACCCCAGGCGAGTCACTTCACCAAGTCAAGCCTCAGTTTTCCCATCTGTTGGACCACAGAGGGTCACTAATCTCTCCAGGCTGCCATAAGGACTGCCATGCTGCCATGCATGAGACAGCATGTGTTAACAGCTTCCTCTCTGCCTTGAAGGATGCGCCTGGTTGACGCTGGGGTGCTGAGGTGCTGCCATTTAGGAGGACTCCTGTGGATGAAGGGAATTGGGCCCCGGGGTCCTCCAGCTTTGCCCCACACCACGGCCCACTCCAGGGAGCCAGTGAACTGGGCCACCCCAACCCCTGGGCAGCAGAGAGGGCATCAGGCCAACAGGGCATTTCCTTCTGGGTGGGGGCGCATATCGTCACCAAGGGCACCCGGGGGCTTACCCTGTCCTCCCGGCAATGCCTGTCAGGTCAGGGGAAGGGAGGCAGGAGCGGACAGTGTGAGTGACCAGCCAGGGCTCTTTGGGCAAACGCCATCTGGAGCAGCCAAGGGGGAACAGTGGAGCAAGGGCAACCTACACGGCCATGCCCTTGGCCCAAGCGTGATCCCCGGGCCTCGGCAGGTTGGCACAGCCCATACTGTGGGGCAGCAGGCAGCCAGAAGGATGCTCTGAGACCCCACTCCCCGGTTCTAAGACAGGCACGTGTTTCTGGGTCTCCCCTCCTAACACCCACCTCTGCACACTGCCCCCACCCCACCCCTGCCACATCCTGAACTCCTGGGGGACCGCGTCCAGGGTGGAGAGCAGCTACTAAAAGCAGGTTTATGGGTAAGGAGAAAATCACAAGCCATGAGAAGAACATGGGGTGACTGGTTTTCATTAAGGATAATAATTAACACCCTCTCCTCCACACCACTCTGCCTAAGCTACCATCACTCCCCTGGTGCCTGCCATAGCCTCCAAACTTTGGTCCCTGACCCCTGCAGTCAACACATGAGGTCATGTCACTTCCTGCCCCTAACACTGGGCATGGCCATGCACCTGATACCGAGGCTCAGAGGAAACTCCTGGAAGGAAAGCTGGGACTCCTGAACCGAGCAGTTTGGGCTCTAGGGTGCGCATTCCTGGCACCAGCCTCTGCCATCTAAGAAGTGGGAGGTCACAAAGGATCTCTCAACTGCTTCACAAGGACCTGAGCTGATTCAAGGAACCTGCCATGGAATGAGAGGGACAGATGCACACCAGGTACAGGCAGCACAGCAGCCAGGAGCCCTCGGCAATTTTAGGGACAAGGGTTCCACTAGAATGGAGATTTATGTGTGATGTGAGCACCTCCGTCTGGGAGCCACCAGGTACCTGCCCAGCCTCCCCTCCCTGGGTGGGTGGCCCTCACGTGCTGGAGTGACACAGTACAGCCACCTGGCACCCCTTTACCACACTCTGGGCACCTGGCGCACTCAAAACCAGCGAACCCAAACCACAGACATCTCCATTCCCCAAGCTGTGCCTGTTTGGGTCCTACACACTTCCTGCTGGAAGAAGCCACAGTCAGGCTTTTATTTATTCTAGGATTATTTCTAGTGCTTTCTGTGAGCTAAGCCCCATACACACTCTAATCTTCCGATAACCTTGAATGGCAGGAACAGTCACCTTCCCCATTTGACAGATAGAGAAACTGAGGCAGGAGGAGGTGAGATTGTTCTCTCCCCGGGGCTGGTGTTCAAAGCCTCCATGTGGCACTGCCTTTAGGAGAAGCTTCTCTGGCTTCTCTGGTTTTCATCCCTGCCCTTTTCAGCCCAGAAAGAATTAAGTAAAGACACATATCTAAGTCACCACCCACCCATCTCCTACGTCCTGGAAGCAGGATGGACGACTCATAATCCCCGTCTTTCCCCACGTCCATACTGAAAAATCAGAAGGTACCCGGAAGGGACAGGGGCGTTCCAAAGAACAACCTTGGTGACAAAGCAACAATCATAACAGACACTGTGTGCTGAAGGCTTACTTCTGCCAAGTGCTTTATTTACAATAAAGCCCTCTCCCCCTAAGACTGCCAACAAGCCTGCGAGAGGGGAACCAGTCTCACTCCATTTTAAATTTTTTTTTTCAACATTTATTTATTTTTTATGACAGAGAGAGACAGAGCAATTTTAACGGGGAGGGGCAGAGAGAGAGGGAGACACAGAATCGAAACAGGTTCTGCTCTGAGCCATCAGCCTCCAGAGCCCCACGCGGGCTCAACTCCCGACCGCTGCAGATCGCAAGGGACCTGGCTGGAAGTCGACGCGCGAATCGACCACTGCGCCGCGCCACCCAGGCGCCCCCCCCTCACTCCATTTTATGGATGGGAAACAAGATGCCCAGAGAGGTTACATAACTGCTTCATGGTCACACAGCTAGTCTGAGGCAGAACCTGGACCGGACACAGGCTCTGACCTTAGAGCCCACTCTATGCTGTTCTGTCTCCTGTGGAAAACCAGGAAATCATTCCACCGAGCACATGGGGACAGAAGCCGGATAAAGAAACACAAATTGCTAGAATCCCATGCAAATGGCCAAAGGCACTCACTACCCGCAATCCCTCTCTGTCAACTGGCTTCCTTGGCCTGGGCCCCACTAGGTCAGCAAATCCAAGGTTTGGTTGTCTTAAAAACAAAAACAAAAACAAGAACAAAAGTAACTGACTTGCAAAACCTAGGCCATATCTCAAGGCAGAAAGTGGGCCAGCTCTGGGCCCTCTGTAGCTCACACATCATTACAAGACAAAGGTCCAGAGTCGCACGTGCTTCCCTGAGCGGTTGAGGGCCCTGAAGCTTCCTAAGCTGGGATTAAACAGTGCCAGGTCTTCTCGTGGCCTCCCTTCAGTTGGTGACCCCTTGGCTTGAGTCCCCTAACTCACCCCAAAGATGAGAATCTTTTCTTCAGGAGTGCCTGGGTGGCTCAGTCGCTTCAAAGTCCGACTCTCGGTTTTGGCTCAGGTTGCATCTCACGGCCCAGAGCTGAGTCGCATCGGGCTCTGCGCTGACAGCACGAGCCTGCCTGCCTGGGATTCTCTCTCTCTCCCTCTCTCTCTGACCCTCCTCCACTCTCTCTGTCTCTCAAAATAAATAAACTAAAAAAAAAAAAAAAAAAAGAACCTTCTTCAGTTGCATTTCTACTGGACGCTGAGGGGCCACGGGACCCAGAGACAAGCACTAAGAACCCCCGCTCAGGAATGGACCTCGAAGGACTGCCCTTTGCTCAGCAGGCCAAGCAGGGACACCAGGCCCGGAACTCAGGGAGTCAGTCACTGAGCACGTAGCAGGGAGGACAAGAAGTGATTTCGCAGACACGACCCACAGGCTCTGGTCGTCCCCACCAGCCGGCAGCGCCCCAGGAAACAACACACGGGCTCGGGGAGAAGGAGTCCCTATCGGTCCCCTAAACCCATCATCCCAGAACGCGCTGCCCTGATCCTCCACGGGAGAATGAAGCTGTGCTTACTACTTCATGTCTAGGGTGGCAAACGAGCACCCCCAGGTAGGTTTTGTCAGGTCTGCATGTGGATTTACAAATGTGAATCACTGGCCAAACTCTAAGAAGAAAAAAGTCAGACTCCACACAAAAATCCAGATTCCTGACTACTCTCACACACACAGTGACCTGGCCACGAGGGGCCCACGTGCCTCAGGAGCAAGGGCTCTCTCAGATCCCCAGCGCTCACCCCAGCCTACAGGCATGGGCCCAGATTCACCAGTGGGCTACACCCCCCACCTTGCCACAGAACTGCCCATGGGCACACCCTGAGCACCCGTGCCCTGCCGGGCCCTGGTTAACCAGCCAGGTAAGTACCTCTCAGTTCCTCTCCGGACTTGGGCTCCTGGACAAAAGGGCAAATAGGGTCCCAGCTGTAGCAATAAAGCTCTAAACACGCCCCTGCCCCCCCTGCACAGGCTCCCATATAAATCGTAAGCACCCATCGCAGATTTTCTAGGCCAAGATCAATTTCTAATGTTTTCCTGGGTGAAGGTCCAAGAGCTAGCCCAGGAGACCATCTTGGAGTCACTGCCCATGGGGGCCCTGATGACTCCCTCAAAGAGACTGAATCCCTCACTTTGTATTCACTTCCCAGGGCTAGTCCTCGATACCATTAGGAGAATGGTGTCGTCCTAACTAGGCCCGAGATCGCTTGACCTGCCCTGTACCTGGCAGGAGGGCACCCCCTAAGGTAATGAGATGAGGCCCTAAACAGGGTCAAACTTCCTCCTCCCCCAGGGACCGGTGGGAAGTCTCCGGGGAACAGGCCTATCTCCTTCTTCGGTAAGTCACTGAGGGACCCTTCAGACCAAGGGCCCAGGGGTCCGAGGCCTCAGCCTACTTTGTGGTTCAAGCTTTTGTCTCCTGTCCAACGACCCCACTCCCCTGCTCTTCTGCACCCACACGGGGCCTCCTAACCCTGGCCCAGTTTCCCAAAAAGGGGCCTGCCATTTTGTTCTTCTTCCAGCCATCTTGTGGCTGCCTCCTAGCCTACCAGCCTGCCTTGCTGGGACCCCAGACAGGGGAGGAAAAAAAGCTGGCAGCTAGGGACAGGGTGGTCACGGCTGGCTGCTGTCTTTTTCTGGGGACAAGAGAAGGAAAGGGTTGGCAGAGGCGGGATTTTTAGGGGTCACCAGGGCTGAGAAGAAATACTATCCTAGGCTTCCAGGCTAAATGATATGACAGACGCCTCTGTTCTCTGGATAAAATACAGGATGCTGCATTAAATTTGAATTTCAGATCTATAACAGTTTAATATAAGTAGGTCCCACATATTGCATGGGACATACTTACACTAAAAACTATACACATATATCATTTATTTTTTCAAACTAATTTCATTGTTTATCTAAAATTCAAATTTAACTGTGTGTCCTGTAATTTTATTTGCTAAATCTGGCAACCTGATGTCCCAGCCACTAGTTAAATGCATGGTTGGTGGCCACGCAGTTAATAAACAACCCAACGTCTCAAGGACTGACTGGAAGACCTATTCTAAAGGTGCAGTGGAGGTGAGATTTGGCTTCTCCGGGCTGGGAAAA